TTGGGGGGGGGGGGTCCCTTGGAGGCCTTCGGGCCCTGGGCGCCGGGCCTTGGGGGCCTTGCTGCGGTGCCCACGCCGTGTCGGCTGCCGCGCAGGCCCCCGACGCAGGTGCGCCGAGCAAGATACCGCAGGGCTTTAAAGGGGCGTTTTGTCTATAGAGGCATAAGCATACCAAGGAGCCGGCTGTTGCGTCGGAGGTCTGTATTCCGAGGTCTATGACATGATTATTGAAGCATGTGGAGCCACCATTTCGACGTCTCTCTTGCCTTGGGGTTTAGGGTTTAGAGACATTCTGGCAGGCCTTTCCAGACTTCCGCGGGCTCTTTCAAGAGTTGGCGTCGAACTTACGTCACGTGTAGATTTGTCACGTAGATGTGATCACGTGTGGTGGTAGCCTCACCCCGCTGGGGGGCATCCATGCTGTGGCGCAGGAGCAGCGCTTCGTAGGCTTCGCACTTCGCACTTCGCAGTTCGTGCGTGTCAGGTCTCCCTTCTCCAAAAGTCGGGGCCTCGGCCGGCGCGACATCGCAGATCTCTCGCAGCGCCTCTGCGGGTTTTCGTTGTGGCAATCTCCGGGCCCTCAGGTGCCAGAAGAAGGTGGCGAGGGGATCCCATCCGAGCCCGCAGCTTAAGAGACGTCCGCATAGAGTTGGAGTCTCTAAAAAACGCGCAAGCCGTCGCTCACGAAACCTACCCTGCCATAGTGTGGGCTCAAGGAACCAAGTCAGCACATTCAAGGCCAGCTTCTTTCAAAATCCAGCCGCCTAAGGTTGTGCTTATCATGAGCTTTCTATAATCTTCGGGTGTCCTAAGCGCCAGCTTCTCCCATCGCTCGGATGATGGTTCCGGAGAGCACGCTTGAGAACAGCACCTGCACCGGTGGCCTCCTTCTGGTGATCTTTGTCCTGGCCCTATGCAGCCAGAGGCAAGGGCGCCAGAGAGCCCCGAAGGATGAGACCTTGAGCTCGTCCCTCTCGTCCCCGTCCCCCCAAAACGAGAGATGCTGTGCGATCTGTTTGGAGCAGATGCGGGCTCATGAGGAGCCCACCTCCCTGGACTCCTCGAAGACTTTGAAGTCTCTGAAGCTCAAGGTAGAACTCTGCCGCTTGCCCTGTGGCCATGTCTTTCATCACGCCTGCCTCAGTCGCTGGTTCAAAGTCCAAGAGACCTGCCCTTACAGATGTGATGCCGACTCCTGCGACTCCCGCAACTCCCAGAGGGCCCAAGTGGAGGTGGACCGCACTGAGCGAGAGGGACGCCGGGAAGAGTCCGACGCGTGGTGCTTTGTCACGAGCGCCGAGCGGTGCAGAGCCACTCGGATCAAGCGTAGCAGCGTAACCGTATATTTTGTCTGGGAAGTTCTCCTAGAGGGAAATCAGGCTATCTGTCTATCTGAGTCTATCTAATGTCTTACTCACTGGCGGCAAGAAAGAAACCGCTAAGCTGCGAAAACGAGGCTGCCAGAGCGGCGTACCGGCGATGCCTCGGCCTCTGAATTGGAGCTGCTCCCGGTCGCTTTGACACTGGGCAAGGCAGCGGAGATGAGCGGAGTAATCTATCAGAGCTCAGCCTAAAAAAGGGCTCCTCCCAGCCTCGCAAAGGGGGCGAAGCGCTCTGCGCCTGGGTATTTCTGCTGTTGTACAGCCCCGCAGTAATGACGAGGGAGGCTCGGGGTGTTGCTGTCGTGGCAACAGCCCGACAGCACCACTGTGTGTACATACTACTAGGAGAGGTCGCAAGCCTTGAATTGGCCACAAGTGCCCATGCAATGCCTTCCGCTGGGACAGCCGCAGTCCTAGCTTGACTCCGATCCAAGCAAGAAAAGGCCGAGATCGGGAGCCACAGATGGTGCAAAGAGAGGATACCTCCAGAGAGGGCCCCACGGCTGAGCCAGGGAAGGAGCTGGCGATGCTTGAGGACTTGGAGAGGCCTCATCCGCGGCGACTGAAGAGATAGATCAGATATATCTCCATGAAGCAATCAGAGAGAGACCTTTACCCCCCCTTTCCTTCGCATCAACGTTTCGGGCGCTTTTTTTCTTTTGCAGGGTCCTCGCGGAGGAGGTGCGAGCGGGGGGACACTCGGCGTCTTGGCCCGGGTCTCAGAGGCTCCGATCGGAGCCTCCAGGCGTGTGTGTGTCTTTGTTGGTTTTTGTATTTTTTTCACTGGGCCGTCAGCAGCCGGGTTTAGGGTTTATAGGGCCCATGAAGAGCAAAGATAAGAGAGAAGAGAGGCACTACCTGCTGCAAGAGCTGGCGCTCACGCGGCAGGCTCTGCAAGGCCCCTCCTTGGGATCCGTCGCGAACCACAGTCTAGCGCCCTAGGAAGCCCCAGAGTGAGAGGGGACCATCTCTTTCGTCTTGCCCCCGATTCTAGGCCTTATGCCAAGCGCAGGCTAGCCGGCGAGAGTCTGACATGGCAAGCATAGGGCCCTCAGGACCCTGAATGATGAACTTGGACCCTAAAGCCCCAAACCCTAAAACCCTATAAGCCCCAAACCCTAAACCCCTCAACCCTCCTAAACCCCTAAACCCTATAAAGAGACTTCTCACGTCGCGGAAAAAAAGGCCCTCCCCCACAAAAAAATGCGCCGCGTCGGAGCTCCGCAGCTCTGCCAGGCCGGTCTCTCAAGGGCGAGGCGGAGCCGCCGGGAGGCCGAGGCCGAGCCTCCGCAAGTTTTAAGGGTTTTTAGGGGGGGTTTTAGGGGGGTTTTTAGGGGGGTTTTGAGGGGTTTGGGCTTTAGGGGGGCTTTAGGGGGTTTTTAGGGTTTAGGGTTTAGGCCTTCGTTTCTCAAGGTGATTTGCGCGTGAGAAGTGCATGTTCGAGCTGCTACGATGGGGCAAACAGTTTGTGGAGAATTCCGCTAAAGGAATGTATGAGGTCGATCTGGTGATGCTTTGTTTAGTCTACTAAGTCTACCAGTCTATTCCAACCCCCCGTGCTGCAACGTTTTCAGCTCTTGCATGTACCGTAAGATTATTGGGTCGTGCATCGACCTCGCCCAGCGTGACAGCATGATCCAGGCTTCACGCCCCAAGGAGGGTTACAGGTTTGGCTTGTGTTCCCGATCGGAGCTGATGACCATCCTGGACATCGGTGCTTGCGTTCTCAAGATGATATTTCCTTGTTGTGCTCGATTACAATGAAGCTGGGCTTCTCCTCTCGGCGATTATCGCGGGCTTCGTGTCTTCAGTGCAGTTGCTTTTCAGCGGTTCCGGCATCGGGGGGCTTCAAAGGCCATGGGAGAGGCAGGCTTGTCGGATTGCTGGCTGCTTTCTGCTTTTCCGTCCTGCTTTTCTATTCGTTGATCTTGAAATGATACTGTACTGATTGCTGAAGCCGCAGCAGCCGTAGATATGATTCGGCTCACTTCTGCGCCAAAGCTTTTGTATGCCTGACCGGAAAAATCTCTGCTCAAAGTGAGTTTAGGGCAGCTACGTCGGAGAGGAAACCTAAAGCCTTAACCCTAAATCCTGACAAATTGAGGGTTTAGGGTTCCGGCTGTTTCACCTGCCAGGGCTGTTGGACTCTGTCGACTTCTCGGCGATGTCAAGACCTCATTCTCCAGCCTTCTTGTTGAAATATGCAGGGAAGTATATTCCTAATGCTCTGAACCCTCACGAGCCCTCATCCCGTTAAAGCCTTTACCCTTACCGTACCTGCTGATGCCCGAAGCTCAAGAAATCTAAGCGTCCACCAGTGCTAAAAGCTCTTCGACCCTTCGAAAGATCTCAGGCCTGAGCGCGGTTTGGGCTTGGCCTCCGGCGCCTCCAGCGTCCCAGGCCGCGAAGTCGCGGAGGTCTCGGAGGATTCTGAGCCGGAGGACCTCAGCAGAATGGAGATAGTCCCATGTTGTTCAATCAAGGTGTTTGTGGGTGCATAAGTGTGTGTGTGTGTATGTGTATGTATCTATATATATATATATACATATGTGTTTATATACATATACATATACAT